TTCATCCAGCTCCCAGTTTCTGTTGCTTGGATATCTTATTCAGCAAAATCCTTGCATGAAATAGTGGAGTAGAGGGAAAAAAAGATTAATTTAAAGGACGTATCCACAATTTTCTTCCATTTAATTGGTGACTTTTTAATCATGCTGTGTTTCCGAAAGCCCATATTTTTCATTTACAGTGCTGAATAGAAGTATAGTTTTGTAAAATGACTGTGGCTTATAAATAGGTATCTGTAAACAATTTAATTGACTTTTATCTGGAGAGCACTTTTGATTGGTGTTAATGTTTCAGAGGTTTCTCAGGATGTGGTTTAAAGTTAGAGCAGTGTTTACTAGAAGGAACTATAAGGTACCATACCATACCTTAAAGTGACATTAAACCATCAGATTTTTTAACATAAACCAATACTGTAATGTGTGCCTTACTGTAATCCATGGTTGTTTCCATTCTCTTTGCTGCTCTTCCTTTTAAATCCTCATGTCTTCTCATGCTTAGGGAGAAATTCCCTTTTCAGCTCAGGGCCTCTTCCTGTAGTGCTGGCTCAGGTTACAAGCCTATACAAACGTATACACAGACACCGTGTATCGATTCCTGAGACAAGGCAGTCTGCTGCAAAACAGAAGTTCTGCCCAGCATGAGTACAGATACAAATTTAAAAGGAAGAGCAGCAAGGAGAAGGGAAACAACCATGGATTACAGTAAGGCACACATTACAGTATTGTTTTATGTTAAAAAATCTGAGGGTTTAATGTCACTTTAAATCGATTGTCTTTCCCACTGCAGCATGCCAAAACGCCCAAACATCCCAAACTAAGCTCTGTCAGGCAGAGCGTGGAAGCATTATGTAGGGGGATCCAAATACCATATTTTAGAAAGTTAGTATATGTCTCTGATATTTGGGGGTTTTGGCAGCACAATCTGGGGAAGTGTGGGTGTGGGGTAGATACAACCAAAAGGTGTGCTGAAGCATTTCATGGTGCCTTCTCATAAATTCTGGTATGTTTGCTTTCAGTGCTGAGAAAATTGAATCTTGGTGCTGAGGATTTTGGCTCAGTAAGAAGTGTACAAATAAAGTGTCCCCTCATACTCCCTGACCTTAAACCTTGACCAAAACCTTAGGCCAGGGGTGGGCAGCTCTGGCCCTCCAGCTGTTGTGGAAATCCCATGAGTTATTGCAAGACAGACAGAGGCATGACTCCCAGAGGTAGAGGCATGTTGGGATTTGTAGTTAAATCACAGCTGGAAGGCCAGAGTTGTCCACCCCTGCCTTAGGCTGTCTCCAACATCTAAAGTGCATAGGCAAAGCACAGGTTCAGTTTAAAGCTGAAACTCCACGATAAGCAAATGTCTAAATACAAGAGGCATGTATAGTCATATTTAAAGGAGAACTATGAGGTGAGTGAAAATCACTCAGCCTCATAGTTCGAGCCGACGTGTGACAATGAAACTATCACAGGCCGGCTCAATAGATCGGGAAGTGAGCGAACACATACCGTCGCTCGCTCACTTCTCGATCATGTCCCTGCAGAGAGCCGTGACTGTCACTCACGGCTCCCTGCAGGGATTCCCCCCTCCCCTGTTCGATCCTCCAGCGGTGGCGGAACGTACGGGGGAGGGGCGGGTACAGCTGGCTCTGCCTCTAGATAGGCGGAGCCAGCTGTCAATCATGCAGATGAGTGGATCTCGACAGTAATGCCGGGATCCATCCCGGCGTTCTCAGTATACCGGGAGCTGTACACGTGAGGACGCTAGTTTGTGTCCTCCCGTGACCCTGGGGAGAACTATGGGGAAAAGCCCTAACCCCATAGTTCTCCTTTTAATCTTGGTGTACTTTGTGTATTCCAGATGTGTGCAGGCTGACTGGTCTTGTATCCACCCCCTGTAGTTTTCTGTTGGCAGTCTGTCATGGGTGGGCCTGCTGAATCCATCTCACAGCCTTCCCCTCAGCACAAGTTATGTGCAGCACAGTGATTATGTCACTGCTGCTTTTATATGGTAATATCTGGGTTAAGCTGGTTTAGTGCACACAAAGTGGATTTACATCCACTGTACCTATTGAGAAATATATTTAAATGAAAGGCTTTTGCGCCTTTTTGTGCTTTGTGAGTTCAGCTTTAACCTTTACCTTAGTCCTAACTTTTTGTCATCGTAATATTAACAATTTAACTTCTCCCCTGACTTGACTCTATAAACCTTGAATTTACCCTTTCAAATCCATACATATCTTGACCTTGTGAAAGTATAGCAAAAATCAGGTTATAGAATCGGCACCAGAACCACCTGGTATCTGGTATAACAGACGGCATCTAGTTGTCAATGGCAAAGGTCTCCCTAGTACTGTCCTCAAAAGACCTGTTATGATTTTTAATTAAAACATTTAAGTGTACCAAATGAACTTTTAAAAAAATTACCAGTAATTGAATATTCATTTTTTTAGTTAAATATGTTGAATGCTTAACAATAGTCTGTAGACATTTAGAGGGCTCTAAAATAATGATACACTCTTTGGTGGGTGCTTGACACTATTGCCTAATGGGAATAATTAGTAAACATTTGTTATCTGAAAGGGGTCTATAACACAGTAAAGTTAAGAAGCACTGGTCTTTATAAGAGTATTTCACAAAAGTGTACAAAACCAGCAACATTCTTTAAAAACTGTATCCCTAGGTTCTTTGTAAGCGCTTCCCGGCCTGCCGTTGTAATTAAACAGGTCGGCCAGGAGCTTCCTGGATGTGAGTGGCGGTCTAAAGACAGCCTGTTAGCCCCCACCTACACGCGTGCGCCGGAAACTGTCATAATTTAAAAACAGGCAGCGATGCCTGTTTACATACGAGTGATCCGCCAGCTATAGAGCCGACGGTACGCTTGTATGAGGTGGCGATCGTGCTCCCCCATACCCCCCTTCCTCCGCAGCACTGGTCCCGAGCTTCGCTGTGCCCGGGGCAGGCCGGGAACAGCACAGCAGCTTTGTGACAGGAGATCAGAGGGAGTTCAGTACATGATCTCCCTTCGAGTCAGAATGTGGAAGTGATGTATACTACATCACTTCCACATTCTGCTGTCACTCTCCGGCTACAGAATCTCCAGAGAAGCTGATGAAGCAGATATGTGCTTCATCAGCTTCTTTGGGGGTCCCCAGGTGACATTAGGAGTCTTAAAGACCCCTGATGACTCCATAAAGAGGACCTGTCACATCCTCTTTGCTATCACATTGGGTGATTCTTAGTCCCCTATGTGATAATAATAAAGTTAAGTGAAAAAAAAAGTGGAAAAAAAGGTATAGTTCCCAAAAAATTTAAGTTACATAAAAAAGAATAAAAAAACCACACACATACATGCATGCAAACATGCGTCGGTTCCGCATACGTTCAAAAACGATGATTGCGCCCATTATGCACATGTTGCATATCACTGCAAACGTCAGTGTGAGGGCAATAATTTTAGGGCCATTATTTACTGATCACACTAAACTGATGAGCTGTAAAAGCTTTTAAAGCGTCACCTATGTCTAATTTTGAGTATAGTATTTTATTGAGATTTTGCAGGTGCATGCAATTTTTAAGCTTTGGTGTGTATTTACACGACGTGACTCCATCTTTTATATTTTGCCAAGAATATGGCTAAGAATAAATGTTTTTTTTAACATAACGTAGGGAAAACATTTTTTTTCCAGAATTTCCGGTTCTTTTTTCATTATATAGTAAAAAATAAAAACCCCAGTGTTGATAAAATACAACCAAAAGAAAGCTATATCTGTCCCCAAGAAATGGTATAAAATTAATTTCAGTACAGCGTTGTATGAAGGAATAAATGTCAGTCAAAGTACTGCAGCGCAGAATACTGAAAAATGGCCTGGCCAGGAAGGGGGTGTAAACATCTTGTCTTCAAGTAATTAAGACATAGCTGTTAGGGATGGAAGGGTGCAACTGGTAGATGAACCTCTCCTGCTGACAACCCAGCACAGCAGATTACCAGGAGAGCTACTGTTTACCAGCTTCTCTTTGTATCAAGCGTGCTGACAGTGGCTCCTGATACCCAGATCATAGCAGAATTAGCAATGAAGGGACAATTAAGCCCCACAGTGCTTCTAAGGCACAGAGAAAAAATCCTGGCTCTGTTTGATTGTCCTCAATATGGTCTAATCACACTGGTGAAATAACAGGCCATCCACAGTGCCTGTTATTTCTGCCCTCTGTGCTTAGCTTGACCACTGTATGCACAGATTTACAAACACAATCTGTTTCAGCTCAGGAACACCATTTGATATCTTCGCCCTGGGTGTTGAAAGACCTTGTCACAGCACTGCCTTTCATTAATTCAGCTCTGCGATATGAAGTGCATCATGCATCAGGCCTGGTTTACATAGAAGTGAAGCAAGATGAAATAAACTTGGGTTTGATTTACTAAACTGTGAAGTGTGCTGATGCAAATACGTTTGTGCTTCACTTGACACTTTAGTAAATTGTACTCATAATATACTTTAAACTACCATTCCCCTTGACAATATTTACAGAAACAACTTTAAACATGAATATTATTGAATTTATCAACAAGCTTAAAGTTTGAAGTTCGCCAACCTCAGTGTTGGAGGCAATCTTGTTATTCAATTCTGGCCATTTGTAAGGGTAGCAAGTAAGCTATTGTCAAATATGGGAAGTCATATGACTGCTGTGAGTCCACCATTTTATAGAAAGAGGGATGGGTTATCCATTGCTTCCAATTATTGCCTCCTGTGACTCAGGAACTGACCAGGGACAAAGGCTATACTGTGCATTATAGGTCCATTGTTATTTCTGGTGATGAACCTGCAAAGCTTTAAGCAAACATTTTTAAGACTCATGAACTTCATGAATCCTAGGGATTCATCACGAACCAATGGTATTCCCTAGTAATTGCATAACATTTGTATAATCACATGTGTCTAAAAATGTCTGCTTTTATTTGTACTTTTACTTTTCTTTTACTTTTGTAATTTAGTTTAACATTTTTCTGTCCATAGGATTAAACAATGGGTTGACAAGATGCAATATGACCTTGTAACATTGGCAAGAACAGCAAGTGGTGTGGATCAGCTTGCAGACGTAAGTAAACCGTGTACATTTTCTTCTAAGAAATTAATTTAAAGAATAACTGTGTGTTAGAATGAAAAATCAATATTGGTCCTTTTGGTAGATTTTTTTTTTTTTACATCAAAGAATGCAAAAACTCACAGTAAAAAGCCAAAAATAGGTAACTCACTATATGACAGTCATGCAAAGTAAAAGAGTAAAATAAATATTAAAAGAGTCATAGCTTTTCGGAATCTTTGGTGATCATAGAGGTATTGGAGGTATTGAATAAGGGGGTTAGAAGGAAAGACAGTGTCAGCACCAATTCAGAGATGATTTGAGGATCTACAGCTGAGTGAAACACAAATAATATACATTTTTGTTAATAGTTAAGGTACTTGAATTAATTTTTAAGATTTAACTCCTGAGTTTAGTGTCTCTTTAAAAGCAGCCGGACACAATGCCAAAAATCCCGTGGGGAGTGCAATTGAGTAAATCGCCCCTATGATCAAACTATAAGGAGTTAAAGGGTTCTTTTTAGAACACCTACGATAACACTATAGGGAGTAACCCCCTTATTCAACACCTCTATGATCACCAAAAACCCTGTTTTCCAAAGAGCTATGACTCTTTCAATATTTATTTTACTCTTTTATTTTGCAAGGCATGACTTTCATATAGTGAGTTACCTATTTTTGGCTTTTTACTGTGAGTTTTTGCCTTCTTTGATGTAAAAAAAAGAATCTACCTATTCCTTTTTATTTCATTTTTACAAAGTCAACTAAACTTTAAAGTTAATATTTAATCACCCCCTGTACAGAAGTTTGAGGCAACAAATCTTTTGTATGTTTTTGAGAACTAGATATGTGTGGAATCAAAACCAGGAATGAAAGCTAACAGCAGTCTAGCTTGCAGTGTGTTGACCTTTACAGCGTTGGAAGTACCGCATGAAAGGACTTCCCAAGACACAGTACTTGAAGCCTGCACAGTTCTAAGCCACACTGTGATGTATACTAATTACTCCTAGTTTTACTATAGCCTGGCAGCAGCAAAGACTAGCCACACACACAGAGGATAGTGTTAATGATAATGCTGTGTTTTGTTATGAATTAAAACATTTCAGTAATAGTTTGAATTCTAGTAATTATGACCTCGGGAAGAAAATGTAATCAAAATGGATTGCTTAAAGCTGTATTGATCACTTTGGCAATAGTCTCCAACACAAAATAGCTTTGTTGCTTCCAAGCATATTAAATGGGTAATGTCAGCCAAAAGCTTGTGATCTAATTTTCTCATTCTAGCCCACGTCATATCTCCTTGCTCATCTTATTCAATAAAATTATATACCGGATCATCTCTGTCTGCTTTTGTTCGGATTGTTATAGCCAACTGCCATTGCTTACCCTTTTAATTTCATCATCCAGTTTTGCAATCCTATCTCTGCAGTTATTGTTATCTCTTGCCTGTGAAGATTTTCTGTAAGTTAGTACATTGCAGTATGTTGTACTGTGGATTATGCACTGTGGTGTTGGCTCCAATAGAATCTTTAAAATGTAGTTGTAGGTAGATATAAAAGACCCCATTTAATCTAGTTATGTTTCCACAAAAAAAAATTGTATTCCCCGCTCCACCTCCCTTTAGACAACACTTTAACCTAGAAAAGGTGTAGGACTCCTGTTGGATTTTTATTGCTGTCAGGAGCTTCATTAGAGAAGTGTAACATCACTAGCTGCTCCTACTGACATTGGTTTCACCAGACAGAAATTGAGAGAAAACAGAAACACAGACAAAAATAGAAATATGATGGGTTTTAGCTAATGCTAGTCCTACTAAAAAAATAATTTTTATTTCGGTCTGGCTGTTAGAGAGGTACCTTTACTTCCTGTTTGGTAAAATGGTGTAAGCAGGACAGGAAGTGAGAATAAATCTCTCTAACAGAGTTCTGGAAATCAGTACAAACCTGACAGGTATTCTAACCATTCCTGACTCTATTCAAAGCTAAGAAAAAAGGTTTTGTTTGAAAATATAATATGCTTATATTTTACCTTCTTTGGTCCCTCCTTTCCCTCCTCATCAATGTACTAATGCCATTTTTAAATACAATGTTTGTATTTTCATAACGAGCTTTATTTGAAGCCCAATGATGGGCCATCACTGGATTTCTGTGCTGGAGTTCTTAGGGGTGGCCAGCAAGGTGCAGTATATGGCTTCCTGAAAACATCACAGCACTCTGCCTCAGCACTCCTCTGAAAAGCCCTCAGCCCTGATACAAGCAGTGAACTGCGTTTTTGGAGGAGTTATACAAATACCAAAATGGCTTGATGGGTGGATGTCAATCTGGAGGAGTGGGTGTTCCTAGGCAGACTGCATTTGCATGCAGACCGCCCCAGGTACAACCCACATGTGATGCTGAGCTTCAATGTTTGAAGAAACTGAGATCAAGTAAATGAAAGGGATGGGCTAGAAACAATAAGGTTGGGGTGAAAGAGCTAGATGACAATAGATGTTCTCCAGCCAGGAAATGAGACAGGCTCTATCTAACTTGCCGCAGCTTCTAATGCACACTGTGAGTAGCTAGCGGTGTGCAGTGAAATCAGAGTGAGCAAGCAAAGGAGCCTGGACAACTGGAAATGTTAATGCTTTTAATGTGGCTGTGTGGCTTCATATTATAGCCCAGAACAGAAGGCCCTGCTAATATCATACTTTTCACTAAGGGTTTCTGAATCTAATTCCATAAAGTACTTTTATCTAAAGCCATCCAGCTTTGATGTTCATTCATGTGTTTACCCAGGCCCTGAGGGGCAATATTTTCTGTTTTTCTAAGTCCAAGCATCCACAGAAGTCCATGTCAGCCTGTAAAGATTCTGCCAGAACGTTTTGTTTTAGGAAACCTTCGCACTCGGCCCTTAATAAAACAACAATGTGTATTCTTGTACTGGTACAGCAGTGCCTCCAAATAAAACAATAATGTGTTAGCCAGGTAAACAAATGTAGACTAATGTATCTGATAAGTCAGAGTTAATTTTAGTCCTAGCAAGGCTTCTTTTCCTGTCATGTCTTCCCCTGTTCACTTTTTTTGTGTTACCTATTTAGAGTTTCTATTGCATCATAAGCTTTGTACAGTTATATATTTTTTATTTCCAATTGTTAGCCTTCTTTTGTCGCAGATTAAAATACAACTTAAGGCATTTGTATAATAGTCTAAGCAAGTATCAAATTCAGTTACTGTTAGATGCACATGCCTCATATAAGTGCAAAAAAACCAAAAACTAACTTTCCTGAATGAGGCAACTCCTCCTTCATTTGTGTCTCGCACGCTCCCCCTCTGAGACACTGCAGCTTCAGCAATGCAGGCAGTGCTGTCAATCCAGAAAGCAGTGGGCAGGACTAAGTGGGGCCAGATGCTGATTGGCAAGTTACAGATAGTTAGAATCTGCAATGACAATGCTAATAGCCACACCCCTGCAATATTTTTTTCATCCCACTGTAATGCAAGCAGGCAGGAGTCTACATGAGAATGGCAACCCCACACTAAATTCAGGAACATTGCAGCATCGTTGCCACCCCATCACACGGAGCTACTTTATGGTGGACTTCACTGGCAGGTTCAACAAGTATTTGTGGGCCTTTGCAGAGTGACTAAGAGAAAACTGTAAGTGCAAATGCACTTATAGTTAAGTGCTGAAGCACACACACACATATATTTAACTTTTTGCCTTTATTGAGGCAATACTTTTACTTTAACATGCTTGAGGTAGAACCACATAGTTTTGAATACAATCATTCCAAAATGTTAGGTGGTTTTCGGACCAGAGACGGAACAGAAGCCAACAATTGCTCTGGAATAAATGTTATTCTCAATTTTTTTTGGCCTTCAAATATCACAGTATGGGAGACTTTCCTGAACTGTGCCCCTATTGGCTGTTATGCATAGATTTCATAAGATATTTATACCTTTGCCTGACATGAGTTGAGGAAGACTTACTATGGGGAAAATTAGCACTGCTGCTCTTTCAGAGTGTTTAAAAAAAACACTGACATATTCTCCAAAGGACCAGTATTACCTAACCATGTCAAACTGGCTTAGTTCTCGTGATATACATTCTGTCTGATATGTTGTGTTACAGCCTTTTGTATCAAAGTCTATAGATTGTTGTTGCTAGTTAATATAAATCCCTCAATCTCATTATTTTGGGCAGAATTAAAAATAAATATTAGAATCGCTATTTTCAGAAGGAGAAATTGCAAATGAAAATTGTCACTTTTTTATATATTTCCAGAGTACTTAATATGGCATATACAAAATGCTCCCAATGTTTGTCTTTAAGCAGACTGCATGTTGGTGTAGTAGCTTTCACAGCCCCAAGAGAATGGAGAATGAAATGCATGCATGCTCTGAGGAGACAGTTATTGACTGACCTATATGAGTATAAGACATCTTTCCTGGAGAAGGCCAGACTAACATTTAAGCTAACCAAAATGTAAAACTCTGAGAAAATCTAAATAAAAAAGTAACATCCCATTTAAAACATTGCACTGTGTCCCTTTTTTTTAGACGTGTAGGAGCATTGCTCTTTGGAGTAAGGGTGAAAGGCAATTTAAAAGTCTTATATAGGTTTTCCCTTCCCTTTTTTTATAACACAGGCATGTTGATACACCTTTCCATCTGATTTTTTTTTTATGCTTTTAAGGAAACTTGTACTGAAAGAAATATGGATGCTGCTGTTGCCATCTTTTTTCAATGCTTTGAGTCACCAACCTGAAACACATACTGTATAGGGAAGGTCAAAATGTGATAGTCCAATGGTGACACCTGTTCCAGTGAAAGCAGACAAATGGGATTTATCTTACCTATTTGTGAGTGGAAAAAGCGAGTGGAGACATCAGGATGGATCGTAAATGTTACCCTATTCCTGGGTTTAATGAGCCGAAGGAGTATGATGAGCCTGGGGAACACCTACGTCTCAGTGTGAAGTGCTTAGGGGCTCAAATCCAAAGAGGGTAGAGGAATCTTTGTTTAGCAAGTGTCCTCC